CCAAGAACAGATTAGCTTAATCTTTGGAGTTAGCAAGAAACAAATGTTCCTTCTGTTACTGTGGTGAAAAGAGCCCTTAATAAATGGATCCTTAGCCCCCAAAACAAAATGGCTTTTAGGAGTGGTCTATTGTTCAAGATCCCTGGAGCTCCCGAGGCAATTTTAGAGCAATCTACCTTTGGTGTTATGTTCACAAAAAGACAGTGAAATTCAAAAGCAGCAGGACTTTGCAAGCCAGACAGTCCTGGGATCAAACCCCAGCTCTGTCACTAAGAGCTGAGTGACTTTAGAGTTATGGGAAAATTAAGTGACAAAAAATATAAAATGAGTAGCACAGGCTGGTATATAACAAATATTTAGTCAGTGGTAGCTATATTGCTATTGCCATAATTAATTTGATTTTCTGATAACTTGAGAGGTCACATTAAATCCTCCTGTTCTAAAATTTAGTCCATGTCTTCCTTTTAAAACAGTAATTATAGTTTTAACAAAGAAGTCAAAGAAGTTAAATCTTCTATTTATTCAATGCACATTACTCCTGTAAGAGCAGGAGTCTCGTATGCAAATTATTGTTTCATAAAGGCACTGTGAGCAGTCCTTGACCACAGAGAGGGAGGGATGGACACAAGACGCTGATCATCAGGTGAATACACAAGTAGGAGACCGAGGAAATAATGTGGGTCCTGGAGATGTCTTCAAAGAATTTTAAGTCACTGCTGCAAGTGCACTTTCTAGTGGTTTTTTTTTACTCAGAGAAGCTTGGGGGGAGGGCATTAAAATTGTGGTTAATTAAAATTGTTGCTTTATTTATAGCTAAATATATAAATTTTGGCCTTGAATATTTCTGGTTGGTGTCTATCATATATACATTTAAAAAATTTAAATAAGCCAATAATCTTTCCATCAGGACTGCAATGGAAACAAGGAGAAATATGTTCTTGGAGACAAAGGGTCTTTGAAGTCCCCAGGGCACACAGTTGTGCAATTGGAGCAGAGGACCAACGCTAGTGTTTCATCTTGTTGGTGTTCAAGCACCTACTATGTGCCAGGCACTTTACACACATAAACCCCTTCCTTCCTTCCAACAGGCCTATATGCAGTCAGAACTGTATCATCAACATGTTCCAGCCAAGGAATCTGAAGCTAAGGAGGTTCAGGCCTTTTCCCCAAGGAAAGGATGGGCAGGAGAAATCTAAAGCCATACTTTTTTTTCCTCTGAGTTGAGTATGATATTAGCTCAACAAAAAAAGTTACTTACTGTTTGATTTTTATCATGGAGGATCCCCAGTGTCTGTGTTCTGCTAAAAAAAAAAAGAAAGAAAATAGCCAATAGAATAGTTAAGAATGTTTTCTTTTATCTAAGTTTAATAAAAAAAAATCTTAATAAAAAATCTTAACGATGCTTATAATACTACTTGAAACTAATTCTACTCCATACTCTTCACAATCATTAATTGGGAGACCAACAAAATTTACCGAGTACTTTCAAACCAACTTTAGGATAACCATATTTTTTTCATCTAGATAATGAACTCTACTGTTTTAAATGAGACTTCTGCCAGAACGACCTGTGTTAAATATATAGGTTGGGGTTTTTTTGTGTGCTTTTTTTTTTTTTTTTTTGAGACAGGGTCTTGCACTGTCGTCCCAAGTAGAGTGCAGTGGTGTCATCATAGCTCACTCAACCTCAAACTCCTAGGCTCAAGCAATCCTCCTGAGTAGCTGGGACTACAGGCGCACGCCACAATGAAACACTAATTTTTCTATTTTTAACGGAGGCAAGATCTTGCTGTTGCTAGGTTGGTCTTGAACTCTCGACCTCAAGCGATCCTCCTGCCTCGGTATCTCAGAGTGCTAGGATTACAGGTGTGAGCCATCTTGTCTGGCCTCAGTCATTATATTCTAACTAGCTTTTGAAAGACAACAAAAATTCATTTTTTAGAGAATTTCACATTTATACATCAGAACTGCAGTCCCCACCCCCCAATACCAGTCCTCCGGCAGTGGCTCACGCCTGTAAAACCACTACCCTGAAGTAGGGACTGTTAGCCCCATTGCATAGATGAAGCAGCAGAGAATGAGGGAAGTCAAGTGACTTACCCAAGGTCACACAGCTTAGCAAATGAGAGAAATGGACTTCCAGTTTAGGTCTACATGGCTTTAAAAACACTGTTAACTATACTGCCTTTAACAACCTTCACCTCAGTATTGTCACTGCTCTGAAGAGGGTCACATTGCTCAGCTGTCAGCTCACCATCTTTCCTCTCTGTTAATTTATTTATTCATCTGCTTATCTATTCAATGAATATGTGCTAACCCCCTACTCTATGCCAGGGATAGGGGACAGAGCCGGGAATGAGACAGGCACAGGCCCTGACCTCATAGACACTGCATTCTGAAAACAAAGAGGTTGTCAGCTATGGGAAAACTAAGCATGCTTACTCATTTCTGGCTGAGTCAGAGGCTTTGAAACTCCTTAAATGTCACTGTTACCTTCTGGAAGCCTTAAAGTCTAAACCCTTTAATGTGTGTAAAGGGTTTGACTAAATGCGGGTTTAACAGACTATACTTTAAATATTATAAAAACATAGTCTCAGCCTAACAAGTCCAGGCGCCAAAGACCTACATCTTAAGACAACGCGCACAACTTCTCTCTCTGTCTAATGTGTCTCTGTCTCTCTCTTAGCTTCTATTACCAAATAGAGAAATTTAAAGGAGTATAATTCTAACCTACATTGCAACGCTACCAACTAAGGTAACTAACATGAATCTTAACTATTATAGAGATAGCACAATTCAATCTCTTTCACAGCCAGTTTCTGGGCTTCGTATGATTAGTTTTCGTTGATTATAAATGGTAAGATTGACAGAGTGACTCCTTTTTTCCTGTCTCCTAAACTATTTTTCTGTGAAAATTATCCTGTAAAATCGAGCACTGTTGGTGTTATCTCA